ATCCTCCCACTCACACCTCCCCTCTCTCTCCCTCTCCTCCCGCAGAACAACGGCCAGTTCCTCCTGGCGGTGGATGCAGACAGCGAGCACCTCCTCTCCGTCTGGACGTGGGACAATGAACACGTTTTTGGCAGAGTGGCGGTTGGTTCTTCAATTTCTGTAGTTTTTTTGCTTGTTGTATTGGTGTTGTTGTTGTTACTGTTGTTTTTGTTGTGATGATTACTGGTAGGGTTATGATTATCATAGTTGGTATTATCATTACAATCATCATTATCATTGATGTTTTATTATCATCAGCATCATCTTTATTATTATCATGATCATTATCATTACCATCATTACTCTAATTGTTATCATCATCACTATCCTTATCACTATCTTGCTTTTCAATTCATAGGCTCATTATCATCACAATTCACAGAACTGATATTATTATTATTATTATTATTATTATTATTATTATCGTTATTGTTATTATTATCATTATTATTATTATTACTATTATTACACTTTTTATCATCATGATCATCAAAGCCATCCCCCCCATTATCATATAATTACTCTCATTAACATTCCAAACAGCTATTTCACCAATACCCTTACCATCATAATCATTATAATCTAAATTTTGATAACCAGTTTGAACGAAATACGAAAGAAAATAATCGATGCTCTAGAAACAGCATGTCAGTCTAAAATCTTCGTTGCGTGTCATAATTTTACAGATGATTGAATTTCTTGACCGAATTACAGAGTTTTTTTTATTCAAATTACGTGTTAGTTTTGGATGATACGAATGTTGATGATAAGGAGACAATGCGAGTGAAAAAAATTATAGTAATGATAAGGCTGGTTATGATGATTATTGCTATGACTATAGTAGTAGGGATATTGATACTAGTGTTGGTCGTGGTAATAATGATAATAATGATAACAATGATGATAATAGGGATTGATAATGATAATGATAATAATGATTGATATTGATAATGATAATAACAATTGATAATGATAATGATACTAAGGCCTGAATATAGTAATGATACTAGGGCCTGAATATAATAATGATATTGTCAGTGACGATGAGTATGGTGATCATAATGATTATAAAAACTACAACCTCAGTAATGATAATCACATTCTTAAAAAAAAATTATCACCAACAACACCAATAACAACAGCAGTACCTACACACTGACAATGCTAATTATAACCACAACCTCACTTTCCTTCCTCCACTAATAACTCATTTTTTACCCCCCCCCAACCCCCTCCCTTCCACCTCCTCTTTAACCCCCCCCCCTTCTTCCCTTTCACAACCCCAGACCCACCAAGACCACGTGTGGGGCGCTGCCTTCCACCCACTGGACAACAACCTCATCGTTACCCATGGGCGGGGGTTGCTGTGCATTTGGTCCAGGAGGAAAGACGGCATTTTCCAGCGGTCTGATCTCGTGCAGGTGAGTGGCGTGGGTTGTGTTGGGTTATGATGTTGCATTGGGTTGAATTGGGTTATGGTGTTGCATTGGGTTGTGATGTTGCTTTGGGTTGAATTGGGTTATGGTGTTGCATTGGGTTGTGATGTTGCATTGGGTTGCTTGTGCTGTGATGTTGCATTGGGTTGGTTGGGTTGTGATGTTGCATTGGGTCGTGTTGTGTTGTGATGTTGCATCGTGTTGAAATGGGTTGTGATGTTGCATTGGGTTGCTTGTGTTGTGATGTTGCTTTGTGTTGAATTGGGTTGTGATGTTGCATTGGGTTGTGATGTTGCATTGGGTTGCTTGTGTTGTGATGTTGCATTGGGTCGTGTTGTGTTGTGATGTTGCAACTGGTTGAAATGGGTTGTGATGTTGCATTGGGTTGCTTGTGTTGTGATGTTGCTTTGTGTTGAATTGGGTTGTGATGTTGCATTGGGTTGAATTGAGTTGTGATGTTGCATTGGGTTGAATTAGGTTGTGATGTTGCGTTGGGTTGGTTGGGTTGTGATGTTGCATTGGGTTGGTTGGGTTGTGATGTTGCATTGGGTTGAATTGGGTTGTGATGTTGCATTGGGTTGAATTAGGTTGTGATGTTACGTTGGGTTGGTTGGGTTGTGATGTTGCATTGGGTTGAATTAGGTTGTGATGTTGCGTTGGGTTGGTTGGGTTGTGATGTTGCATTGGGTTGAATTGGGTTGTGATGTTACATTGGATTGAATTGAGTTGTGATGTTGCATTGGGTTGAATTGAGTTGTGATGTTGCATTGGGTTGAATTGAGTTGTGATGTTGCATTGGGTTGAATTGAGTTGTGATGTTGCATTGGGTTGAATTGAGTTGTGATGTTGCATTGGGTTGAATTGGGTTGTGATGTTGCATTGGGTTGAATTGGGTTGTGATGTTGCATTGGGTTGTGATGTTGCATTGGGTTGAATTGGGTTGTGATGTTGCATTGGGTTGAATTGGGTTGTGATGTTGCATTGGGTTGAATTGAGTTGTGATGTTGCATTGGGTTGCTTGTGTTGTGATGTTGCATTGGGTTGAATTGAGTTGTGATGTTGCATTGGGTTGAATTGAGTTGTGGTGTTGCATTGGGTTGAATTGAGTTGTGATGTTGCATTGGGTTGAATTGAGTTGTGATGTTGCATTGGGTTGCTTGTTTTGTGATGTTGCATTGGGTTGAATTGAGTTGTGATGTTGCATTGGGTTGCTTGTTTTGTGATGTTGCGTTGGGTTGAATTGGGTTGTGATGTTGCATTGGGTTGAATTGAGTTGTGATGTTGCATTGGGTTGAATTGGGTTGTGGTGTTTGTATTGTTTGGTTGTGATGTGATGTCGCTTTAGTTTTGTTGTGTTGTGATGTTTTCATTGCTGTATGCTGTGTTGTGATGTTGTTTATGTTGTGTTATTGTTTGTGTTGTGATGTCGCTTAGATTTGTTATGTTGTGATGTTTTTATTGCTTAGCTGTGCTCTGATGTTGATTGTGATGTTTCTGTTGTGATGTTTAGTTGTGTTGTGATGCTGTGTTCCCATGTTGATTGCCTTGTTTAGCCGTCATGTTGTTTGTGTTTGTGATTATTTCATGGTCCTTGTGTTGCTTGTTCCTTGCGTTTGCTTGAGCTATAGTGTTTTTTCTTATTCTGTGTTGTAATGCTTGTGTATTTAGTGCCATTGTGGTGTTTGTTCTTGCTCTTATCTGTGGGTTCGTTTGGCTGTAATGCTGTTGTTAATAGTTATATTATTGTGAGCATTTTGTCTGCGTCGTTGTAAAATTTTCACTCTTTGGTGCTTATCTTTGGTGCTTATTACAGTTGAAAAAAAAATATGAAGGAAATTTAATTATTTCAGATTGTGACTTACAATGGTGAAAGTAAAAAAAAAATAAACCTTTCAAAATGGTCGATACTGATAAATACAAATCTAATATATATAAGATAGATAAATATAAGACAAATAAGATCAATAGATATTCAAAGATAAATAATGTACAAAGAGGGGTGGATAGAAATTCACTTTCATTAATTAGTATAATTCATATGGAATTAATGAACAATATATTTTTTTCTTTTTCACATAAGTTAGCTGTATGCTTATAGTGACAGATAGTTAGATAGATAGACAGAAAGATAAACAAACAGTCAGATAGACAAACAGTTAGCCAGACAAACAGATAGAGAGATAGTCTGATAGACAGACAGATAGGTAGATAGCTAGACAGATAAATAGACAAACAGATAGATAGATAGATAGACGGATATACAAACAGACAAATAGACAGAAAGATAAACAGACAGATAGATACACAAACAAATAGACAAACAGATAGATATACAAACAGACAGAAAGATAAATCACGAACCCTTTCTTCTAACACTCCTCCTTCTACCCTCCCCCCCCCCCACAGGAGGACTCCGGTAGGAACATCACCTCCATCGAGTTCACGCCTTCGGGAGATCTTATCAGCGGAGGGGGCGAGGGACTCATCACGGTGTGGGGCGTGGATGCTGAGGGAGAGTACTTTGTCAAGAGGGAATTCCAGGTGAGTGGGGAGGGAGAGGGAGGGGGAGGAGGGGAGGGGGAGAGGAAGGGAGGGAGGGAAGAGGGGGAAAAGAAGGATGTGGGGGGGGGTGAGTGAGAGGGAGAGGGAGGGAGGGAGGGAGGAGGGAGGAAAGGTGTTTGTTGAGTGAGGGGGAGAGGGAGGGAGGGGGAGGGGAAGAGGGAGAGGAGGGAAAGGAAGGATGTGAGTGATGAGTGAAGGGGAGAGGGAGGGAGGGACGGGGAGGGAGGGGGAGAAGGGGAAAGGAAGGATGTGGGTGGTGAGTGAGGGGGAGAGGGAGGGAAGGGGGAGGGGGAAAGGAAGGATGTGGGGGGTTAGTGGGGTGGGGAAAGAGGGGGTGGGTGAGGTGGGGGAGAGAAGGAGAGTGTTTTATCAAGAGGGAATTCCAGGTGAGTGGGAAAAGAGAGAGGGAGGTTTTGGGAGCGGGGGGGGGGGAGGTAAAGAGGATGGAGGGAAGGGGGAAAAGGAAGGAGGGTAAGGGAGAAGAAAGGAGAGGAATTGAAGAGGGTGGGGAAGTTGGAGGGGAAAGAAAGGCTGTGGGTATTTGCCAGGGTGTATTATACTCTTTCTAATTTTAAAATGTATAAAAAATGTATAAAAAAAAAATGCCCTGCGTCTAATGCGGCAGAATTACGGATAACAGACATACCTAGTGACAACTAAACGTATATATCTATCTCTTTATGAATCTATGTGTACATATATCCAACCTCATCCCCCAAAACACTAACCAACCCCTCCCTTCTTCTATCCTCCCTTCTACCCCCTCCCCCCTCAACCCCCCAGGGCCACTCCGGACCCATCAACTCCCTCCAGATCCTGAGTGAAGGGACGATCCTCTCGGGGGGGGACAAGGACCGGAAGATCATCGCTTGGGACTGCGATGAAGATTTCGAGAAGATCACCGAGACGAAGGTAAGGGAGAGGGAGAAAGGGAGAGAGAGAGAGAGGGAGAAAGAGAGAGAGAGAGAGAGAGGGAGAAAGAGAGAGAGAGAGAGAGAGAGAGAGAGGAGAGGAGGAGAGGAAGGAAGAGAGAGTGAGAGAGGGGGATGGAAGGGAGAGAGTTCGGTGAGAGAAGGGGAGGGAAAGAGAGAGAGAGAGAGAGAGAGAGAGAGAGAGAGAGAGAGAGAGAGAGAGAGAGAGAGAGAGAGAGAGAGAGGAGAGGAGAGGAGGAGAGGAGAGGAAGGAAGAGAGAGTGAGAGAGTGGGATGGAAGGAGAGAGTTCGGAGAGAGGGAGAGAGAGAGAGAGAGAGAAAGAAAGAGAAAGAGAGAGAGAGGGAGAGAGAGAGAGAGAGAAAGAGAGAGAGAGAGAGAGAGAGAGAGAGAGAGAGGAGAGGAGAGGAGAGAGAGAGAGGAGGAGGAGAGGAAGGAAGAGAGAGTGAGAGAGTTGGATGGAAGGGAGAGAGTTCGGAGAGAGGGAGAGAGAGAGAGAGAGAAAGAGAGAGAAAGAGAGAGAGAGGGAGAGAGAGAGAGAAAGAGAGAGAGAGAGAGAGAGAGAGAGAGAGAGAGAGAGAGAGAGAGAGAGAGAGAGAGAGAGAGAGAGAGAGAGAGAGAGAGAGGAGAGGAGGAGAGGAAAGAAGAGAGAGTGAGAGAGTGGGATGGAAGGGAAAGTTTTCGGTGAGAGAGGGGGAGGGAGTGAGAAGGAGATGGAGAGAGAGAGAGAAGAGGAGGAGAGGAAGGAAGAGGGAGTGAGAGAGTGGGATGGGAGGGAGAGAGTTCGGTGAGACGGAGAGAGAGAGAGAGAGAGAGAGAGAGAGACAGAGAGAGAGAGAAAGAGAGACAGGAGAGAGGGAGAGGAAGGGAGAGAGAGTGAGAGAGTGGGATGGAAGGGAGAGAGTTCGGTGAGAGGGAGAGAGAGAGAGAGAGAGAAAGAGAGAGAGAGAGAGAGAGAGAGAGAGAGAGAGAGAGAGAGAAAATGCAGAAGCACGTACATTGAAAAAAATAAAAGAATGATGATATAATCACCGCTAATGAGAGTAATTAGAAAATAATCACCGCCTATATTGTTTGCCATCGCAGTTTCCCCAATGATATTAATTACATCACACCACCATGATTCTCACATCCACTAAGTGAAATTAACGCCGCTAATATTAGCCATTTTCATTAAAGCTGTAAATCAATCAATCATGTTATATTTACAACACTACAACAACAACAGTGGATAATTATTAATTACTTTCATTGCAGATTTAGATCAGCCATGTACAGTCATAATTACAAAACTACAACAACAACAGTGGATGCATATCCATTATCTACTCCCGCAGTTACAACCACAGTTATAAATATCACAACAACATGCCTGTCTGCTATCTCACGACCTCGTTTACAAGTCCATTTACAGCCATCGGAACAGACACAGTAGATTTTTCATCAACTATAATTACAACAACCATTGCAATCCTCACAACGAACCACAGTGGACTCTCCATCACTCTCCATCATTCTCCATCACTTTCCGTCACTCTCCATCACTCTCCTTCACTCTCCATCACTCACCATCACTTTCCATCATTCTCCTTCACTCTCCATTACTCTCCATCACTTTCCATCATTCTCCATCACTCTCCTACACTCTCCATCACTCTCCATCAATCTCCATCACTTTCCATCACCACTCCATCTATCACTTTGCCACCATTCAACCCTCCTCCTTTCCCTCCCTCTTTCCACCAGCACCAGCACTTTCCGCCTCCCCTTTTCCTACCATCTTTCTACCACCACCACCACTCCCCCCCCCACCACCACCAACACTTCCCCTATGCCCATTCCCTCCCTCCACCCCCACCACTCTCCATCACCCTTCACTACTCTCCACCACTACTTTCCACCACCACTTTCCACTACTTTTCATCCCTTTCCCCACCACTCTCCACTATTTTTCACTACTCTCCACTACTTTTCATCCCTTTCCCCACCACTCTCCACCATTTTTCACTACTCCACCTACACTCTCCACCACCACTTTCCACCACTTTTCCTCCCTTTCCCCACCACTCCCCACCACTACTCTCCCCCTCTCCCTCCTTCCACAGCTGCCGGAGCAAGCAGGGGGCATACGCACACTCTACCCCCAGCGCCCAGGATACCACGACGGCAACATCTACGTAGGGACCACCAAGAACATGATTCTGGAAGGTTCTTTGCAGAGGAGGTTCAATCAGGTAGGTTGTGAGGGGGGGGGGGGGGCGGGGGATGAAGGAGGTAGGGAAGTGGGGTGAGGGGGGGAGTGAAGGGGGTAGGGAAGTGGGAGGTGGGGGGGTGAAGGAGGGGAGGGGGAATTTTGATACTAATAATGATAATAATAATAATAATAATAATAATAATGATAATGATACTAATAATGATAATATTAATAATTATAATGATAATAATGATAATGATAATGATACTAATAATGATAATAATAATAATATTAATGACAATAATAATAATAATAATAATAATATTGATGACAATAATAATAATAATAATAATAATAATATTAATGACAATAATAATAATAATATTAATGACAATAATAATAATAATAATATTAATGACAATAATAATAATAATAATAATAATAATAATATTAATGACAATAATAATAATAATAATATTAATGACAATAATAATAATAATAATAATGATAATAATAATGATAATAATAATAATAATAATAAAATGATAATGATACTAATAATGATAATAATAATAATAATAATGATAATAACGATAATGATACTAATAATGATAATAATAATAATAATGATAATAATAATAATAATGATAATAATAATAATAATGATAATGATACTAATAATGATAATAATAATAATAATGATAATGATAACGATAATAATAATGATAATGATACTAATGATGATAATAATAATAATAATGATAATGATACTAATAATGATAATAATAATAATAATGATAATGATACTAATAATGATAATAATAATAATAATGATAATGATACTAATAATGATAATAATATTAATGACAATAATGGTGATAATGATCATGCTAACAATAATGATAATGATGATAATATTAATAATTATAGTGATAATCATGATAATGATACTAACAATGATAATGATAATAATATTAATGACAATAATAATAATAGTAATAATAATAATAATAATAATGATAACAATCACTGTGATAATAATAATAAACAGTAATGATGATAATAATGGTGATATAGTGATAATATTGGTAATTCTAATAAAAATAATAATGATAGGAATAAGGATAATATCGATAACTGTGATGACAATGATAATGAGGATAATCATAATGCTAATAACAATAATGATTATGATGACACCAGTTCCATTATGAGAAAGACAACAATATGCCACAATTTGTTCTCTCATATAACCAGTTAAATCATAATATTGACATCATTTACTAATCCCAACACGACGTCTTTCCACCAGTCGATTCAGCATATATAAAATCAGATACACTTTTATAACCACATGTAACAAAAACAAAAGAACTAATTAAATACATTATCTCATCGTGTTACAGGTTGTATTCGGGCACAGTAAGCAGCTGTGGGCCGTGGCAGTGAACCAGCTGGATGGAACAGTGGCAACAGCTGGCTACGACAAGCATATCGTCAAGTGGAGAGAGAACCAGCTGGAATGGAGGATTCAGGTGGGATTAAAAGATGGTTGGTGACAAGGAGTGGTGTGTGTGTGTGTTTGTTTGTTTGGGTGTTTGTTTGGGTGTTTGTTTGGGTGTTTGTTTGAGTGTGTGTGGTTGTGTGTGTGTGTGTGTGTGTGTGTGTGTGTGTGTGTGTGTCTATCTGTGCGTGTCTATCTGTGCTTATATATTTGCATCTATCTATTTGCTTGTGTGTATGTTTGTGTCAGCGAACAACCGTAAGCCTTGGATTATAACGAAAACCTGTATCTATTGACTCCTTTCTCCCCCCAGGCCCAGAGTGAGTGTGTGAGCGTGGCGGTTCACCCGATGGGAACCGTGATTTCTGCAGGAACGATAGACGGACATTTAGTGGTTCTGAACAACAATACGGGGTTACATGTGGCTACTGTTAGAGTGTGTGGGTCGCCTCTCTCCTGCCTTGCATATAATCCGGGTGGGCTTTGGTATTGTTTTTATGTATGGCTCCATTTGACTTTTTTTAATATACAGCATTTCACTATAATTCGTACCATGCTATCTCCATAACACGTGCACACTAAAGAGAAATAAATAAAAAATATATATATTCCCATTCACCATATCACTTCCTCATATATCTTATTATATCATCTTATTATATACTTTCCTCAAATACAACTCACCACTGTTCCCAGGAGGCGACATCTTAGCCGTGGGTTCGCAAAACGGGTCTCTGTACCTTTACAAGAGCTCGAAGGACGGTTTTGTCTACAATCGGTTCGGGAGGATGACTGGTTCACAGCCTCTCTCGAGCATTGACTGGAGCACTTCGGGGCGCTACATGCAGACGGTCACTTCGGACTATGATGTTACCTATTGTGAGTCGTGTTTTGTGTGTGGGGGGGAGGGTGTTTGTGTGTGAGGGGAGGGGTGTGCGTGTAAATATACCTATTTATTTATCTCCCTCTCTCTCTCCCTTCATCCATCCATTCGTCCATCCATAAACATTCCCTCTCCTTCCACCTCTTCCCTCATTCTCTTTGTCTCTTCCACAGGGACCGTGAGAGAGCTGTCCAAAGTGAAGAATTCTTTAGACGTGAGGAATGAGACGTGGGTTACACAGACCTCTCCGCTCGGCTACATGGTCCACGGTGAGTGTTCAGTCCTCGTCCTCATAACAAAGAGTGGCGAGCATGAAGCCGACTTCCATTTGGGCAAAGTCGATGTTAAATAAAGAACTGTGTGGGTGTGGGTGTGGGTGTGGGTGTGTGGGTGTTTTCTATGCACTCAGTCATCCTTTACCCCTTACAGGAGTTTGGGGCGGAGGGAAGGAGGCCCATATCCAGGTGACAGTCGACAGAGGACCCAGAGGAGACGTCCTTGCAGCTGGTGACACGGATGGCTACATCAGGCTTTATAGGTAGATAAATGAGAGTACAGTTGAATTTAAAAAGGGGAGGGGTGTGTTTGATGAAATTTTGAAATTGATTGAATGTATTTCGTGTTTTGTGTTTTTTCTTTACTTTTTTTGGGGGGGGTTTCTTCTTCAGCTTTTATTTCTCTGATGTACTTTTCCATCCCTTTTGCTATATTTACTAATTTTCTTCTTTTTCCCTCCCTTATTAGTAAGCGTTTTCTGTATTTCATAAACAAGCTTCCTTTGTCTTTCTTCCCTTTTTGCGCTATGTATCTTCCTCTCTCTCTATCTCTCTCTCTCTCTCTCTCTCTCTCTCTCTCTCTCTCTCTCTCTCTCTCTCTCTCTCTCTCTCTTTCTCTCTGTCTGTCTCTCCTTTTTCTCCTCCTTCTCCTCCTCCTCCTTCTACTCTTCCTTCACCCTCACTCTCTCTCTATCTATATCTATCTATCTATCTATCTATCTATCTATCTATCTCTTTCTCTTTCCCTTTCCCATTTATCTATCTATCCCTCCTTCTAACCATACCGAAACCAACTCACCCACCTCCGTTTCTTCCTCTCCCTCAGGTACCCCGTGCTAAGTATGCGCGCCGGCTACCACGAGTACAAAGTCTACACTTCGTACGTGTCTGGAGTAAGGTTCTCTCATACCGACAACTACCTCTATACCATTGGAGGCACGGACGCGGCGCTCATGAGATGGAGGCTCACATAGATACACTTGATTTATGTGATGGTGTTTGTTCTCATTGGAGTGAGAGAATCGTATAATGAACGTCCCTTTTGGCTTGTAGGGATATAGGTAATAGTCACCCCTAATAATGGTTCGTTTTCTATGGTGTTAATGAACTTAGTTTTTGAGGGGTAACTAAAGGTATTCCATCGTAAAAGAAACTTTTCTGATTCAGGTAATGAATAAACTGTTAAACCTGTTTTTGGAGATATGTAACGTAAATACAATCGTTATATGTCGTTTCTGAAGAGTGATAGGAAAAAATTCAATAACCCTTTCAGGGACTCGAGACTTTGTTACGCGAACCTAGACACGTGTCTGGGTTGCCATTTGGTTTAAGTATTCATAGAGACAGAAGGTCAGAAGGTTCATACCAAAAAAAAGCGCACATAAAGAACACTGATATACATATATCAGTTGTTGCCTATCTACTGTACGGGTTTGTTTGAGTTGGCAACGGTGGTAGCCGGTCTACAGCGCCTGATGCACAAAAAACGTCAATTGCTGGTCGGTTGTTAACTATTTTAACAACTCTGGCGCCTTATTTATATATGGTGAGTCTATATGTATTAATGAATGCATATGATATGGCTTACTAGTCTAAGAGAATATATTTACAATGAATTATACGTTTGTGTAGGCTTTGTGCCTGCCGCGTGTTGTGCGCTTTGTTCCACACGTGTGTTGGTGTAAGTGCGGGTGTGGGCAAGGGCGAAATATGTATGAATGGGTTTGTGTATCTACAAATAAATATATGTGTGTGTGCCTGTGCATATATATATATATATATATATATATATATATATATATATATATATATATATATATATATATACATATACATATACATACATATATATATATATATATATATATATATATATATATATATATATATATGAATACATATATATATATATATATATATATATATATATATATATATGTATGTATGTATGTATGTATGTATGTATGTATGTATGTATGTATGTATGTATGTATGTATGTATGTATGTATGTATGTATGTATGTATGTATGTATGTATGTATGTATGTATGTATGTATGTATGTATGTATGTATGTATGTATGTATGTATGTATGTATGTATGTATGTATGTATGTATGTATGTATGTATGTATGTATGTATGTATGTATGTATGTATGTATGTATGTATGTATGTATGTATGTATGTATGTATGTATGTATGTATGTATGTATGTATGTATGTATGTATGTATGTATGTATGTATGTATGTATGTATGTATGTATGTATGTATGTATGTATGTATGTATGTATGTATGTATGTATGTATGTATGTATGTATGTATGTATGTATGTATGTATGTATGTATGTATGTATGTATGTATGTATGTATGTATGTATGTATGTATGTATGTATGTATGTATGTATGTATGTATGTATGTATGTATGTATGTATGTTGTATGTTTTCATTAGGGGGTCCAAGTGGACATTAATGTTTTTTGCTTTTGTCCCGAATAAGTGAGATACGTCTTTACTCTATATTTTGAGAGGAGGTACAGGTCTATTACTCCCGATATAAGTATATAAAAAGCAAGAGTATTTAGATCAGTGCGGCACCCCTTCAATGCCGCTCTGTGCTGAAGACCAACTTAACCGAAATTTTTGGCGTATATAAGTATAATTATGTGTATAGAGTGAGTCTGTGTGTGTAAAATCAGTTGTTAGGTCTTTGTATATATTATTTCAAAAAAGAAAGTCATCACTTTAGCTATGAATATTAACTATACTGTAAGTCCAATCACTCTATTACAGCACAGTATTTTCCCGTTTCATACAGTGGAAAGTGATTATCTTTAGAAGAAAAAAGTTATATCTTTCATATAAACCGAATAAGACTACAGAAGCACTCTATTCTTTTTTTGCATGGCTGGCCATCTGTATATATTTATACATAAATCACTTGTAAATTGATAAGGACCACAGGGATACAAAAAAAGTATATATAAATAAGATATAACATTAAACAGTATTTTATATTTTGATACTAGGCGCGCCGATCGGACTGCTCGTTCAGCGGTTCTTGGTGTCGTTTCACTGCTATTTTAATACTAAAAACATTGTCTCGTAGCCTTTAGATAGCTGACAAGGTGCATTGCTGTGATAAGACTGTTATTCTGGTATCATGGTGGAGAACACCTGTCTCACAATCATTATATATATTATGAGCACGAGTCACTGCATTCACACGAGCTTTTTTTACCTCGCTGGGAATAACTTAGCATAATGTATTGTTGTAAGGTTGTATTGATGATGAATAGAAGAAGAAAGAAGAAATATTTGGCCAATTCTTTTATTGATTATATACATATACTTTTTTTTTTTTTTTTTTTTTTTTTTTTAGTTGACCGTCCCGAAGACCAAGAAATTGCCATTAATTCGTAACAATCAGTTTATGTATACTGAACTAGTGTTTTTCAAGTACCCCCTCGGGAGTCCGTTAGAAGGTTTAAGTGAAAATCTGTTCAGTTTATCACTTAACAAATTTTCATTTTCTGTTACACTTTCTACACTGTGTAATCTAGTTATAC